TAATAATAATAATAATAATAATAATAATAATAATAATAACAACAACAACAACAACAACAACAACAACAACAACAAACTTTCTGGACCCCCATCTGCTTCTGTTTCTTGACTTTGCCAAACCAAAAAGCAGTAACATGTTAACATGGAGGTAAATCACAGGGAATCTATAAAGAAAGCGTCAATAGGTAAGTTAAAATAAATTGCTAAGTTATCATACCAAGAGCGGAAAATCTCTGGATGATCACTAGCTGGCAGAAAGTAATTATTTTTATTTATTTTTGATCATTTAGCAATTCTACAGATTTTAGCAGCCCAAAATTGATAGCCCTAAACAAAGTGGATAATTTTCTAATTCAGTTGCAATACATCTGTAGCTGCAGTAAAGACACTCTTTCCATTTGAAACATTGCAGATTTAAAGAAATTGCAGAGAAGGTATTTTTGGGGTGGTAAAAACTCTTAGCTATCCTTTTTGTGTTCTTCTCTCACCTAGCAACTGCCTCGCTGTTTCGTAAACAATCACAAAGTGAAAAGTCATTGCAAAGCTAGTTTCTTTCTCATATATGTGATGTGGAAGAAAGGAGATTTTTCTATTTGCATGGTAGAAGGTAACTGTGTGTCTTGGGATAGTAAATGTGTGGTGGTGAGGGGGAGGGAGAAACCCTGCAGGTTAGCTTCAGAATGATTTACAGAGATTGGGGAGTTAGAAACAGTGCTGGCATAGAAGTACCAGCAGGGAACCAGTTTCCTATTTCTACCAGTTAGCTGATTAGGCTAATCACTTGGCTAGTGAGAAACCCTCAGGGGTAGCATGTTGACAAGAACTCTCTACTTCTTCCCAGCATCCTGTCCAAACATCCTGGTCTCTCTTTATCAAGAAATCAGCAATTTGCAAACCTTTTCTGGGATTATGTGCATAAACAAGGCAGAAATGATGAGTTAGCTGAAACAGTCTATGTATATAAATGCAGGGAACATAGGGAAGCAGGTTTTCTAGCCACAGTCAGTAACCTATAGATACTTGACTGAGAAATATCCATCCATCCATCCATCTATCCATCCATCCATCCATCCTTCCATGCATCCAGATTTCTGCTTATGTGCAACAAGTTATTTTGCTAATTTTGGTTCTGGTTTAGAAAAACAGATTAACAGAGTTGGAAGGGACCTTATAGGTCTTCTAATCCAACCTCCCCTCCCACTCAAGCAGGAGGCCCTACTCCATTTCTGACAAATGCCAGTCCAATCTCTTCTTGAAAGTATCAAGTGAAGAAGCTCCTACAACTTCCGAGGGCAAGCTTTTCCATTGATTGATGTTCTCACTGTCAGAAAGTTCCTCCTTGTTCCTAGGTTGAATCTTTGGAAAATAGCTTGACCCCCTCCTCTCCATGGCAAGCCCTCAAATATTGCAACACTGCTATCATGTCTCTCCTGGTCCTTCTCTTCACAAAGTCTATGCAAGTTGAACATCTTATCTCATCTGACCCACAGATATATACTGCTCTCCTAGATGGCTGTCACTGGACCCAATCTCTGTTTTCTCCTCCCCAATCACAGAACTGGCCACTCAGAGCTCTGTGATGTCATAGGAGAGGGGTGGGACTGGCAGTTTAGAACTGTCATTTAACTGGAGAGAAGTTCCCACTTGTATATAGATGCACTTTCCCCAATAAGTTCAGAGAAGTGACACTTTCAAAGTATGGGTTTCAAAGGAAAATGACATTAAGGTCTTGCCCTTGGTTAATGATCTGAGCAAAAAGCTGACAGTTTTGTATTTACAGGAGGGGAAAAAAGGTAATTCAGTGAGTGCCTGAGCTAGTTAAACTGTTTATGTGAAATTGCCTCCTCTCTACATCCTTAATAGACTTGATTTCACCAGAGGCTAGCATTTACAACTTAGCAGAGTTGGAAAGTGTTATTACCCAGTGTAAAAGTCTAAGTTCAAAAGATTCACCTAAATGGATCAATACACTTGCATTTTAGTAGATCAATGAGATTAGTTTCCTCACATTAAAACTAGTGCGAAATTGCCAAGCACAGCCAAGACTATGTTCCCTTTTTCTAAAACAATGCTGTTGCTTCAAAAAGCCAGAAAAAGCAGAATTATGGAAAACAAATCCAAGCTTTGGATTGGAACCCCCATCTCACCCTAGACAGATCCCATTGACCTGCTTTCCGACATGGAAAGGACAGCATGCAACACACTGGCTCATAAAACTGGATCCAAAAAGTGGATTTAACTGGCAAAGTGGATGTTTTATTTTTCTGAGTGTCAATCTGTATGGCCTTGGGGTTCTCTACAGCTGGTGTTGGTCTGAAAAAGCTTGATGAACCCTGAAGTGAGAAGCAGTGCTCCAATTGCTCCCACCCCCACCCAGAATATAATGGAATAAAGATTAAGTGACATCTCCTATCCAAACTGATCTTCACAGTTTTAAAATTAGAAAAATAAATTAGAGCTCCAGGTTGTTCATCCCTTTATTTATTTGTTCAATTTCTATAGCCGCCCACCTGAATCAACGACTCTGTTTGAGTCTATATGATCATCATATAACATAGTAGATTTCTAAATTATACTATATTATTGAAATTTCCTATCTATGACATATTAATATAGAATAACCGGCTACATTCAGACTGAATTTATGACTGAAAAGGTTTGTATATATGATATACAGTGGTGGGTTGCCAATTTTTTTACTACCGGTTTGTGTACGCTTGTGTGTGCGCTCGTGCGCAATACTTCTGTGTATGCGCAGAAGCATCCGGGCGGGTAGGTAGCCTCCCGCTGCCACTACTACTGGTTTGCCCGATCTGGGCTGAACCAGGAACGANAAACTACTCAAAATTTCCGCTACCGGTTCTCCAGAACTGGTCAGAACCTGCTGAATACCACCTCTGATCAACTTACCTTAACACATAACAAGATCATAGTGATCCAGGTTAATTTTCAGAAGGGTAACCACATTATCAATCAACAACTAAAACAATGCATGGTATCTGACGAAGCCAGACTATATCTATTATCTTTTATGCTGTAATAAATGCAATAAATGCAATTGTCTTTTAGGTATTCCCCAGATACTGTATTCATTGTTTATAATTATTATTTGCCTGGTGTTTAAAAACACCAGTTTTTTTTTTTTTAAAAAAAACCTGTTAGGAAAATTCTGTGCAGTCAAAACAAATTCAGTTTGTTGTGGTTGTTTCCAAAAGATTTCCAGTCATGTTAGCTTTTTGGTGGAATACTCATATGGCAGCAATTTATCCCCTGAGTGTGGTGTTATGGCTCCATGTTGTTGTGGGGATCATTGGATCAGTGGCAGGGTGACTTAAGTTCTAAATACATAGGAAGAAACAAGTTCCAGGAACCAAATACTGATTCCTTTGCAGGGATTGTGTGGGAGGGATGGAGGAGAGAAGGAGAAGAGAAAGTGATGACTGGGAGATGAGTAAGACAAAGAGTTCCTACTAAAGGGGGGAAAACCCATTTGCAGAGCTGTAATTCAAAGAAAAGTGCGAACTTTTTTTGTGATTTCAAATAACCAAAAGAGAGACAGAATAAATCAGTTAAATTCCCCGAAACAGATATTATTGGGAGATATACATTCTAAAAAGTTGCTTAAATCTGATATACTTGGAAGGTTGCTGTTTTCCAACTTCTGTAAATTGCAGCCAACAGTGTAAAGTTGAGGAGAGTGAATTCCTCTCATAATGACCTCCTAGGTAAGAGGTTATAGCAAATCAGTAGGAGAGTAAGGGAAACTCCATGAACTTCATGGGGTGTAGGATTGCCTTCGGAGACATTATGCTGAAACTGTTTCTTATTTCAGATTAAGTGAACTGAAAAATTGAAGGATTAGGATGGGAATATTGAAATGATTAGCGCTCTGGAATTTAGCAGGAGGGATGGTTCATTTGTATTCTGTCTAACTGGCTTCTGAAAAATTGATTGATGAGATAGATGAATGATGGTTCTGTACACTTTATTGAATTGGATACTGAACAATATTAACACTGATAATAAATACACATTTAATAGCAGCAATTTTTCATGGCAGAATATTTGGCTATTGATACTTTAGCTACAGTGGGATGCATTGTAAAAATTTGCAGTATGTATGTATGTATGTATGTATGTATGTATGTATGTATGTATGTATGTATGTATGTATGTATAGCTTTTCCTTGTAAACAACTTAGGCAAAAAATAATTTATCCTGTCAAACCAAGATATGGCCACTAGATGTCCCCACAGGCAAATGTTATTAGATGGCTCTGAAAGAATTTATCCTAAAAGGAAAAATAAGTGTATTGCATTTATGTTTTTGAAGAATTGTCGCTGCCTTATGCCATTTTTTCTGGGGGGGGGGGCTGTCATTTTTCAAGAAGATACAGTTTGCACATATTACCTTTATATCTTGTTTTCCTGTATACACTGGATTTAGCAGATTACTAAAGCAGATTATTTAATCATTAGAAACGGTTTCCTGTTTTAAAGTTTACTAGTCTAGTTCTAACATGGCTCTTTTGGCCCTGCTTCATCCGAGCCATCCCATTCTGCTACCAGGACTATCCAAATGGCGGAAATTAAAATGTGTATTAAATATTAATCAAATTGGAGCCAGATTTAGCTGAAACAGCACCACAGGCACAAAGCATTTCAGGCAGGTGCCCCTCATTCTTGCCNCCTAACCCTTACCTTTATGTGAATCGGCTTGCTTTAATTTTATTTTAATTTTATTTTAATTTATTTTTAATTTTTTTCGTAGCGCTGCTGATGACGTCATGTACGCGCTTTAATCAGGCGCGCTTTAGTGGACCGCGGTTTTGACGGGTCACGCTCATTTATCCGTCGCGGTTTTGTCGGCGCGCATATGTCTATCGCGCATTTGTCGGTGAGCCCTCTTAACTTTCTGCACAGAAAAGACAGGAGGAAATCAAAAGAAGGGGAGGAAACTGTGGCATCCCAAGAGCCAAAATTGTGGAGTGAGGCAAGAGACAGGAGCTGCCTAAGGCACGAGATGAGACCAAGGCATAGGAGCAAAAGCTGGATGAAGACAATTGACTGATGTTCCCTCTTGCTTGATCTATGCAGGAGGAGGCAAGGAGTGTCTTTGGAACAGTCTCTCCAGGGAGCCATGGGGGGGCGGGTGAAGCTGGTGTGGTAAAGTTTCAGGGCCCGAGTTGGAAGTGCAAGGCATGGAAGGGGGATGGCTGTGCCCCCTCCAGGTTACCTAGAGGAGGGGCTGCTGCATTCAGAGGCAGGGCAACAAAACTGGTGGACGTCCTCAGCCTCGTCATCATCCCTAGAAAAGTGGGGAAGGGACAGACAAACAGACAGAGATGGATTAACACCCCGAGGACACACCCGCCATGATTAGGGGAAGGGGCAAATGGAGTGATGGTTGGAATGGAGATGGAAATGTAATGAAGCTGCAAGAAGGAACAAGGGGGTGGTGCAAGGGGACTTAAACACTTTTGATTTTTCAATGTCTTCTACACACAAACACTTTTGGGGTTGCCAAACCATAGTCCACGGAACCTCTTTTAGATCTTCAGCTTAGCAAACCTCCCCTGAAAGCTACAGAAACAGACAGGATTACATGCTCTGCTGCTTATTCCCAGATTCATCACCACTTTTTTCTCACTTTTGCTGCAAAAGAACTGGAATTGCTGTTTTGCGTGACTACAAAGAGGATACTCAGACTAGAGTAGGAGGATCTGTAAAGATCTAACAGTGGAAGGAATTGGAATAGTTCTGTACGATCAAACTGAAGGGTAATGAGGGTTATAAGATGGCAAGGAAAAATGGCCTTGCTTTGGTTCTGTTCCTCCAGGAACAGCTCAGACTCGTCTCTTAAAGAGGTCAACAGGAAGTTTTCCAAGCACAGAAATAAGCATTTAAAAACAAACCAACGTCTGAACATGCGCAGCTGTTACAAAGGCAAACATCCTAGAATATGTGGCAATTTTAAACTAACAAGGTGTTCAACTGCCAAGCCAAGCCATTGCCTATAAATCTACCAAGTCCCTTGTGTAACAAAAGAGGTATATACAGTTCCCCCACTCTTTATCTTCATCCTGCAAAAATGAGCAGGAGTTCAAAACCCAGCTGCTAGTGAAGCCAAAAGACAGGGTTGGGGAGAAACCCATTTCAATGTTTAGCAATATAGATCAGAGTTTCCACTTGGGTATTTTATTCTACAATATAACACACTGTTTCTTTGCCCAATACATCTGAGTTTGCTTTCTTCCTCTTTTCTTTCTTTTTTTTTTGCATTCATCTTTTAACTATTAACGCACATGGAAACATAATTCAATTCAATTCAATTTATTAGATTTATAGGCCACCCAATCCCAGAGGTCTCCGGGCGGCTTACACAGAACAAGAAAAAAAAAAATTAAAAATTCTCCAACACGTATTCGTTCTGATTGGGGCTGGACCCTACATAATAAGGTCAACAGCCCCAGGCCTGCCGCAACAACCAGGTCTTAACAGCTTTTCTGAAGGCCATGAGGATGGGTGAAGTCCGGACCTCTGGGGGTAGCTGATTCCACAGGGTCGGAGCAGCCACAGAGAAGGCTCTACTCCGAGGCCCTGCCAGCCGACACTGTCCGGCTGACGGCATCCTAAGGAGGCCCACCCAGTGGGATCTTATCGGCCGTTGGGAGGTATGTGGCAGGCCT